ACAAAGGAAAGATCCTTGGCATAAGCAACATTGGTGCACCACCTTTCACAACCATAGAAGATGTCCTCTATATAGAAGGCCTAAAGCATAATCTACTTAGCATTAGCCAACTTTGTGATAAAGGTTTCAAAATCAACTTCACCAAAGATGAATGTTTGACAGAAAACGAAGTCACTCATGAGGTAATGTTAAAAGGTAATAGAATTAACAGCATTTTTATGATTTCCCTTGATAACATGTCTTTGAAGGTTAAGTGTCTTATGGCGAACAACAAAGACTCTTGGTTATGGCGCAAAAGGTTTGCTCATATTCATATGGAGCATTTGAACAAGTTGATCAAACATGACTTAGTTGTTGGTCTTCCAAAGATCAAATTCATCAAAGATAGATTGTGTGGCGCTTGCCAAAAAGGGAAACAAACCAAATCAACTTTCATATCCAAGAATGTGGTGTCCACAACAAGGCCACTACAATTGCTACACATGGATCTCTTCGGACCATCAAGAACAAAAAGTTTTGGAGGTAATGTTTATGCATTAGTAATTGTTGATGACTTCTCTAGATATACATGGACTTTCTTCTTAGTGCAGAAAAGTGAAGCTTTCAAGGCATTCAAGAAGTATGCAAAACAAATTCAGAATGAGAAGTCACTTTCAATTGTCTCCATTAGAAGTGGTCATGGTGGAGAATTCCAGAATGCTTTATTTGAAGAATTTTGCGAAGAAAATGGAATCTCACACAACTTCTGCACCAAGAACTCCACAACAAAATGGTGTCGTAGAAAGGAAGAATAGGTTGTTGGCAGAACTTACAAGAACTATGCTTAGCGATTCAAACCTACCTAAATATTTTTGGGCAGATGCGGTGAGCACGGCTTGTTTTGTAAGTAATTGTGTCAACATTAGACCTATTCTCAAGAAAACTCCTTATGAACTCTTCAAAGGGGGAAAACCAAACATATCATTCTTTCACATCTTTGGGTGCAAATGCTTTGTCTTGAACAATGACAAAGATAACCTCGGTAAGTTTGACGAGAAATCCGATTAAGGTATTTTCCTCGGCTACTCTCTCTCTAGTAAGGCATTTAGAATTTTTAACAAAAGAACTTTAACTACTGAATAATCTATGCATGTTTCTTTTGATGAAACTAACCCCTCCAAGGAGGATTATGTTATTATTGATGATATAGTAGAAACCTCTCAAGATAATACTCTCAATGATGTTGCAAGTGATCAACCGAAACAACAACAAGATGATTCACAACACAATGGAGAACACAATGATCTACCTAAAGAATGGAGGACTCATAGAGATCACCTGATCGATAAAGTCATTGGTGATATTAGTCAAGGTGTAGCAACAAGATTGAATCTCAAGGATGCTTGTCTGAACATGGCATTTGTTTCGCAAATTGAACCAGCCAAGATCGATGAAGCATTAGGCGATGATCAATGGATAATAGCTATGCAAGAAGAACTAAATCAGTTTGAAAGAAATCAAGTTTGGAGTCTTGTCCCTAGGCCGAGCAATAAGCACATCATAGGAACAAGATGGGTCTTCAAAAACAAACTTGATGAAAATGGAATAATAGTTCGAAATAAAGCAAGATTAGTCGCACAAGGATACAACCAAGAAGAAGGAATCGATTTTGACGAAACATTTGCTCCAGTTGCAAGGTTAGAAGCAATTAGACTTTTATTAGCTTATGATTGCTCTATGAATTTTCAGCTTTTCCAGATGGACGTCAAGAGTGCATTTTTGAATGGATTCATAAAAGAAGAAGTTTATGTCAAGCAACCCCCTGGATTTGAAGATTACAAAAATCCTTCCCATGTCTTCAAATTAAAAAAAAAAGCTCTCTATGGATTGAAACAAGCACCAAGAGCGTGGTACGATCGTCTCAGCAACTTCTTATGTGATAAAGGTTTTGAAAAAGGAAAAGTTGACAAAACTTTGTTCATCAAGAAAATTAAAGAAGATACTCTTTTGGTACAAGTATACATTGATGACATAACCTTCGAATCAACCAACACAAAGTTATGTGAAAAATTCTCATCCATGATGCAAGGAGAATTTGAAATGTCTATGATGGGAATAATGAATTACTTTCTAGGACTACAGATCAAGCAACTCAAAAATGGGATCTTTATCAATCAATCCAAGTATTCTAAAGAACTATTGAAGAAATTTGATATGGACAATTGCAAGACTTTGTCTACACCGATGAGATTCGGTACATATGTAGATCAAGATGAATCCGGTGTGTCGGTTGATATCACAAAATATTGAGGTATGATTGGCTCCTTACTATACTTGACAGCAAGTCGTCCTGACATTATGTTCAGTGTTTGTCTCTGTGCTCGCTTTCAAGCAAATCCAAAGGAATCTCACTTAATGGCAGTCAAGCAGATCATGAAGTATCTCAAAGGAACAACAAACGTCGGCTTATGGCACCCTAAAGGTAGTATTTGCAATTTAATTGGATACTCTGATGCGGACTATACAGGTTGTAAAACAGATAGAAAAAGCACAAGTGGAACATGTCACACCTTGGGAAATGCTCTAGTCTCGTGGGCATGCAAGAAGCAAGCATGCGTGGCACTTAGTACGGCCAGAGCAGAATACATAGCAGCGGAGAGTTGCTGTGCACAGATACTCTGGCTCAAGCAACAACTTCGTCACTACGGACTCGATCTTGGAAGCATTCCTCTATGTTGTGACAACATAAGTGCGATCAACATTACAAAGAATCCAGTCATACATTCAAGAACCAAGCACATCAACATACGACATCACTTTCTGCGAGATCATGTACTTCAAGGAGATGTCGAGATAACCTTCGTGGATACTCATAATCAGCTTGTCGATATATTCACAAAGCCTTTGGCAAAGGAACCCTTCTTCAAAATTCGGAGAGAACGTGAAATTTTGGATGAAACTAACGTTGAATCATGAAAGAACTTCAATTATGGTATTCTCTCAATTTTCACTGCCTGCAATCGATTGCACCCTTGTGTCAATCGATTGCTCACTATAATTTTTCTAAAAATACTGAATTTTTTAATCATCCAATCGATTGCACCCTAGTGTCAACCGATTGCACCCTAGTGTCAATCGATTGCACACTGTAACTTTTGTTTTCCTTCGTTTCTGTTTGGTAGTGCAATCGATTGCACCATTATGCCAATCGATTGCACCTACTGTGAAATTTGTTCTTTCATTTTCTTTGATAGGTCCATGGGTGTTTAATCCTTTCAACTACCCTACCATCTATACTTTTGACCTACCTATGTTATCTTTACTCGTTAGCCCTATTCTCAAGACTTTGACCACAAACTCTCATATTTCCAAAGTCCATAATCATCAATAACCATCAACTACTCAACTCTCACATTAACTATCTACATACTCTATCTTCTCTTAATCATTATAAAACCCTACATCTAAACCAAACTTCATCATCTCTCCCAAAACGTAAACTACAAAACACTTCCTCCTCACAAACCCTAAAACCACAACCTTCCATCATCTCTCATGGCTTCTCGTTCAAAAAGAAAGATTTCAGATCAAAGTAAAGGCGAAGCTCCGGCATCCTCATCACACACGCACGTGATATTTTTAGTCTAAAAGTAAGTTTAAAAGCCTTGCTCAAAATTTTATCTCTTTATTTTCATTAATCTAACTGCTTTAATTGATCATTTAATCTAATTATTTTAATGATTTAGAATACATCTTTAAACTTATTCTTAGAATATATATATATATAAGAAATGTTGAGATTAAATCGTGATTTTCACTAAATCATGTGTTATTAAGAAAAAAGAGAAATCATTAAAAATATCTTTTAATTTCAATCACTCCTTTTCAAATCTCATAATTTTTATTTATTTTCACATTCTCATATAACTTACCTCTTATAATATATATATATTCACCACCTTCGTGATCTCTTTTTTAAGACTTTATTATAATTTTCTCAAGTTTCGGCATTTTTACTTAAATTATTCTTTAAAACATTTTTTTTTTTACTCTAAACTCTTTTAACACTTTGATTATACCAACACGATTTTTTACCCAATATAAATATATTTTTTACGGTACAAACTAGATCAACTACCTACAACTAAAAAAAATTAATTCCTCAAACAAAAACGAACCATAATGGAAAATGGACGACGAAAATTCCCCTTACATAATTTAACTTTGCTACTCCTAAAGGTGAATTCAAATCCAAAACATTTAGTTAAACTCGAAAGACCATTATCAACATTATCATCGCATCTAAATTTTAAAAATATTACAATTTTCCATCAGTGATCGCACATTTAGAGATGTCAACAGAGCAGGGTAGAGGCATACTTTCCGGCATAAAAAGTGTTATGCAAACTAAGCCGTATACATCTTTTGCAGTTTTATCACAAAACCAAGGTTTTGAGATCATCAAAGCATCCTCCCCTTATTTTATGAGAAGTGGATGTTTATTTATCAGCAAACAAAACAAACATGCTGGAGTAATATTTTCCCTCTAGTGGTGACACTAGAAACAGAAATGAACACAAATGGATTTGAAAATAACAAGGACCTTCATGTGAATCTTTCACAATAGTTCACAAAAGGTGGCCTCATGAAAATGCATGTTAGACTATACATCATGCCCCTCGATTCAATGTTTCTCGCATTCTAATGTGTTATAACCTATACAACCGAGAATTTTGTAAAGCGACAAACTCAAGCTTTCGAGTAGTCGGACGTTAGTAGCTTTCTTGCCGTGGCTCCAAACGGGCACTACACCTAACCTGTGTAGCAAATGCAAATCCTACCAAAGAAGTTCAACTCTGTCCTTGTTTATCATTCATTCATCATATAACCATGTATGAAAACAGGGAGTTCATTATTTACTGATCTTGCCTCCTAATGCTTTAACATTCTTAAGGAACATTGCAATCAAATCTATGTCATTAAGTAGATTACATCAGTTTTTTGTTGCCAAACTTACCAGTCTATTTTTCCACAAAAGACTTGAGACGATCCATCCACCTTAGAAGTTCAATTCTATCCTTGTTCATCATGTACTCGTGTAAGAATGTAGAGAGTTCATTATTTACTCCCCTTGTGCCCAAGTACTCACAAAACATCTCCTGAATCTCGGGTTTCAAGTTCCTGCAATCAACAATTAAAACAGACGTAAATTATTAACATTCAACTGCATATCTTCAAAACAGCAAGGGCTTTAGTACAAGTTTTGTATTGCCAACTTCATTCTCTGCATAGTTGAAAAAATCTAAATAAATAAATAAAAATGGACCGATGAATCAAATAAACAAACTGAAATGTTTAGGGCCCATTAGACTTCCATTATTAGTTCATTTTTATCATCAGTTTTCATTTTGATTACAAAAACACCACATTGCTTTCGTATTGATTTTTCAAAGTTTTGTATAAAAGGAATGAAAAAATCTACATAAAACTTTACAAAAATTACACAATGTGTCATTCAAGTAATTAAAACAGAAAACAGAACATAAAAACCAAAACTGTTTTCTAAAACCAAACAAATCCTTAAGTTTTAGTCATCTCCATCAAGGTTACAAAAAAGGTCCACAAAAGCTATTGTGGCTGCAACATCAAGGTTTTTGACATATCCAAGGTCACAAATCACAATGTCATATCGCCAGTATTAGATATAGGGGCCAAGGTGTGCAAGATGAATTCCAGCAAATGGTCGAAAATTATCACAATTAAATTGACCACCACATCAATCTACTTAATGACATAGATTTGTTATCGTTAAATAAAGTCTCAATTTGTTTTGCCTCAGATGAACACTACCTATGAAGCATTGTCACATACAAGTCGACACCGATAATAATTTGAAAAATTGAATAAATTGAATGTGATCACATGTATCAATATCGTGTCGGTGACCGTATAAAGCAAAACCATAACTCAAACCTGAAATCAGGTCCAAGGTAAGGCTTAGTTGACATCTGACCACGCTTCAATATGAAAACTTTCTCAACATCCAAACCATCCGGCCACGCCGAGCATATAAATTCCAACTCATTCCCATCTTCCCCTTTCGATATATCCACAATCAAACTAAGGTGAAGCCTCACATTCACCCCAGAACTATCATCTCCAAAAACAGGCACATGCTGAAACCCATCAAACATTGTAGCTTCAATTTTAATATCTTCATTATCCCCAAATTTCCCCCTAATCGTAACAACCTGCTCACCAGGTCGGTCTTCAACAACAAAAGAATTGAATTCAGTCACAGGCTGCATAAAAATAGAATTTTTTAATTAAAAACATAAAATTGAAATGAATGCAAAACCCTAATAACAAAATTGATCAAATTTTCTTCTGGAAAATTGGGAACCTGGTGTGGAGGAGCGTATTCAGCTTGATACTCGATCTCGTTTCGAAGTATCCGCAGAATGTTGGATTCAAAGGGTGATTTTGTTACTGATTTTGAAGAGTGAGTTCTGTTACCGAAACCTAATGTTTGAGAGATAGCGTTAATCGCAGGAAAAATTCGTTTCAATGTATGAGCTCTTTGAATTGTTCGAATGAGTATAGACATATTCGGATTTTTGTTGAATCAGGCAGTGATGAATTTTGCAGTTGAACGATGAGAAATGGAAAACAGCATTGCTTTTTGAGCGGGCTAAAAAGGAGAATTGGGCTATGCTAAAGCCCAATTTCCGATTGTTCTTAGGGATTACTTCTCTTATCATAAGATTGTCTCCATAATTTTTTCAATCAGTTTTTTTCTTGTTTTTGTTTTATAATTTTCTTGTTTGTGTTATTCATTTGTGTAAATTCATTGAACAATTAATTGTATCTTGCAGGTATAATGGCTGATAAAGTCGATCGATTGAGAAATGGACAGGTTGTTCAGCATACATCTGTTCGGCGGGAGCGGAGCCAATAGGTTCCGTAAGCAGCAGGTACTTCTGGTCAGGGAGAGGCGTCGATTGCTGGGGCATAGTCTACTTTTGAGATTCAGTACCTCTAACCACGACCACGACGACCTCTTTGATAATAACGACCACCTCTAGTTCATATCCTCGAAACCATGCCCCCTATTGGTCAGCATATTGATAGTCCATAAAATCACACATCTTTCTGTAGAATTAGTGATGCTGATTGTCATGTTGAGCACGACTCATGGTATGAATGCCAACTTGAGGTTCAGTAGGGTTTGAAGTTATGTTATGATGAATCTAATTAAATTGCTCCGTAACATAAGATGCAAAACTATTAAAATTGTTGTCCTGGGTAGTCAGATGATCACGAACCACTCTGAAACGCTCAAACTCATCACGCCTACGTGAATCCTATTCACGATGCTCCAATTTCTCAACACACATGTTCTCAAGCACGGTAAGAATAGATGATTTTTCACCATATGAGCCAACACTTGAGGGGTTACCGTAAGTAATGCCATGTTGGGTCCACGAGTTTTGTTGCCATTGACCCTAACCTTGTGAGTATTCATATTCATCTACAATACCTTGTCATTCAGGTGGGTCTTCATTATCATGGTTATGATCAATCATGTATTCGTCCATAGTATGAGCTTGTTCTTACACCAAATGGTCATTAACAAAAGTTGTACCAAATTCAGCAGGATCATCAAAATTGTAGATGATCTTACTGGTTCCCTTAATTTTGTAGTAATAAACCTGAATATTTGTATCCCAATGGTACCCCATGTGTTTCATTGTTGTCATGTTGAACTCTTACACCAAACTATGTGAGATTTTTGGAAGATTTGGCACACCAATTCGAAAGTGTCATAGAATATTTGCAATCATATAAGCATAACATAAGGAGGATCCTCCATTACACTCTCGAACTGCAAACGTTCGTTACACAAAATAATTTGACTAATTAATCTGAAGTTTATTATGAAGAAGATACATGAGATACAACTTAGATATATCAAACCGAGAATGACCGCCCTTCCTTGGATGCAAGATATGTGTGACAATCCAATGGAGAAAGTGGGGGGTTTTCTTCTAATTGCCCATTGACACGATATCCATGTTGTCTTCTTGCCTTGGTGCTTTAAAACACACTTCAGATAACTTTTCAAATCGAAAGTTGGATGAAAAGAATGATCAGAGAATTTTGATCCATGAAACAACATAGTAATTCAAAATAGTTCCTTCCATTCAGTTGATGTAAAGTGATACGAAGTGTTTCCTATTAGAAAACGAAAAGAGTCACTTTCCCTTGATTGTGGCCCAACATAGAAGACTTGTATTAAGTATTTGTTATAATCAGTCGAAAGGTTAAAAAATTGACAGTCTCTTGGTATTCCATCAGATCAATAATATCTGGAATGTGTAACTCTGTAGCAACGACATGATCATACACATGTCGCTTCACTATAATTCGATTTCAAAATAATTTTTCAAATTCTTCAACACAAGAATGGATAAGTGATGTGACACTGATTAGTGTTGAGGATCATGTGTCTGCGGCATTCTTACCTTTCTTCATTTTGGTAGGCATGATTTTTGGATTTGAGATTGTGCACACAAGGTGTTTGACTAAATGTGTGAATGAATGTGGGGGATTTTTTAGTGATTTTGGAATACCCACTAACCAAACTTGTGATAAATTGATGAAAACAACACACGAAAGAGGAAAATGGATGAAAATCAAGTGATATTTGGAGAGATGATAGAGATTTTGGAAATAAGGGTTTTATAGAAAAGGGAAAAATGAATGGATTGAGACATAAATGGGGTTTGAAGAGATAAGTTGATTTGGATGAAGGATAATGAAGGATAAATTTGACGAGTTTGAAAGGTTTGTATAGATTGATGGAGAAGATGGAAGATGGAGACAAGGTTTAGAGGATGAGTGGGATGTTTGGGTGTTTAGATTACAATGTATCGACCCCTAAAGCCTAAAAACCTAAAAATTTGAGGAATTTTCACGAAGGAGTCGACCCATAACATCTTGGAGTTAACTCCAACTAAATAGAGATTTTTGAGCGTTTTAGGATTTTTTTTAGGGAATCGACCCATAGGTTGTGGGAGTCGACTCCTACTGTACTAGAAATAAAAAATATTTCAAAATTTTGCGAATGAGTCGACCAATAGACTGAGTGAGTCGACTCCTACTGAACCAAAATTGAAAAGTACAAATATTTATGAAAATGTGTTAACCCAGACAAGTTTGCAGTTGACATAAACTATCCAGAAGTGAAATATGAGAAAATTATTGACAAAATAAGACCTTAGGTTGACTTGTGAAGTTTTGAGTCGAGACATGCATTATGGACATATACAAGTTCATGCAAAAATGTTGTTTTTCATGCAATAGAGATAAATAACATCAAAATTAATTCAATTTTGAAGAATTTTCATTATGAAACACATGTGATGATGAAATACAAAGGATTAAAACATGACGTCACTATAAACATGTAGACTGTAGGTTAGCAATGGGATTTCTGGAAGTGAACAGTCACGGGATTGCATCATACATCAAACATATCACAAAATTTAGAACATACAAGCAATATCATAAGAAAAGGCATACAAGTAATACATATAGTTTAAAATAAACTTATACATGAAGAAAGAAGTGAAACAATATTACCTCACAGAAGAAAGACAGAAGAAGTAATCACTTACACTTCTTTTACTTATATAGTCAATGATGAAATCCCTTTATTATCAAATTGATTTCATCGAATTTGTCTTCACAAATACACTTGGTACTTATGCATTGATGATCTTGCGAATGTAGGACAAAGTCCCACACAATGATTTTAACTCAAATAACATGCCCTTAGGTCAATGCTCATCAAAGAGGACAACTTAGTAATTTAATATAAGAATTGAAACACAACTTAAGAGATAATTGAAAATACTAATTTAAAAGCATATAGTCATGGTTTTGGTTAAGTTTCCAAGATATTGTAAAAGACTTGTCTTCTCTTGACTTAATGGTCATCTTTTCTCCTCCTCAACTTCTACCATTTTCGGAGATCAATCTATCTTTGGTGACTTTGAGTATATCTTCTAAAAATTCATATGCATCATGAAAAAGAAAAAAAAAACCTTTCCCTACATTTCTCGGATACAATACATCACAAAGTGATGTATTCAACCTTAATAATAGTAAGTATTATCAAGTAATTTTAATATCAAAGATACTAGTGAAAGGGGTTTATACCTACACTATCTATTTCATAATTTAGCATTTATATTTGTCAACTTCATAGGTCACAACATCCTTCTTCTTTGCCACAAAGTCAATGAATGAATAGATGTTACATTTTATATGCCTTGAGCTTCCCTTGTTAAGATCCCATACTCTTTTCAAGGAGTCAATATATTTTTCCTACAAAGTCAATCAATAATGCTAGGTACCCAATTTTAATTGGGTCCTTGAGAGTGAGTGGAAAAATTGTTACATTTGAGCAACCATTGAAATATACCTTTAGGAACCAAAAATCTCATAAATTTGTATTTAGAAATGGTATGGTCTTTCTTACAACAACAGTGACAAGTCAAGTGACGATGAGAGTGACTTTCTATATTGGACCCCTTACAACATGATTTTACTTCTTGTACGACATATTTAAAGATCTTTTGAATTTTGTAGGATTAATAGCAAAGGTGAACTTTAGTTCGAATGTCTTGTATAATTTGGCTTTTAGACTATTAACCTCTTTTTGTCAAATGTAACAATTTTCACAACCAAACCAAGAATTTTTCTCTTCCTCATCATTAAATTTTGAAGCATATAACATAGATTTCTTAAGAGCTTCCATTTGTTTTTTAATTTCTAAAACTTTGGCTTCTAAGTATTAAAATATTCTTTTATTTGAAGCAAACCTTTTAAAAGTATCTATCACTTCACCATATAGATTTTCAAAAGCAACTTGTAATTCAGAATAAGACATTTCATCAATAGGTTCATATTTAGAATGACTTGCATTTTTCTCCTTATGATGATAGGCCATGAGGCAAAAGTTTGCCTCTTCATCACTTTCACTTAAGCTACCTTCACTTTAGGATTCACTATCACTTTCCCAAGTTATATATGTTCTTCTAATCTTGCTAGAATCTTGTATTGACCCTTACCTTTATCCTTATTAAGTTGTAGACAATCCTGCTTATAAAGTCCAACTTTACCATAATTAAAACATGAACATTTGCACTTTTCTTTCTAATTCTCATCTTGCTTTGAGGATTTAACTTGTCTTCTAAAACCGATGAGGTTGTTGTCGGAGTGTTTTACACCATTTCTCTTAATGCATTAATTTATGATACCATTTAACAAAAAATATCATTTCTTTATCATTCGAATTCTCATTATCACTAGTTCCACTTTCGTCATGCTCTTTTGTTGATGACTTAGAGATAGAAGCCACAAGAGTAATTGAATTCTTTTCCACCTTTTTTTACTTGTTATTTTCTTTCTTAACCTTCTTCTCATGCTTCTCTAAGCTAACGATCTCTTACTCATGTTCTTCAAGCTTACCAAACAAAGTAGTAATGTCCAATGTCAATAGATTGTTAGCTTCCTTGATGGAATACAAGACGAGTGAAC